GTCCGTCTGCCGTCTATCCGTCTTAAAAAATATTTTCATTGTCTATACGACGCCCAACACCGTACCCACGACGCACGACCCACAACCCACCCACCCACGCCATTTAGCCATCCTCTATAGTATATAGTATAGTGTCTTTAGTGACAAAGTCATACCCGGAGACTGAATTCGTTGAAACGGCTGTAGCTAAATAAAAATCCCAGGTTTTAGCACAAATGCGTCCAGTCCATCGTCCAGTCCATCGTCCAGTCCATAGTCCAGTCCTGTCCGTAGTCCAGTCCTTAGTCCAGTCCAGTCCATAGTCCAGCCCATAGTCCAGTCCAGTCCATAGTCCAGTCCAATCCATAGTCCAGTCCAGGTTTTAGCACATGCCGTCTATAGTGACAAAGTGATAGCCGGAGACTGAATTTGGAGACTGAATTTGTTGAAACGGCTGTAGCTAAATAAAAATCGTCCATCGTCCAGGTTTTAGCACAAATGCTAATACCTGGACGATGGACGTCCATCGTCCAGCGTCCAGCGTCCAGCGTCCAGTCCATCGTCCATGTTTTAGCACATGCCGTGTGTAACATCTTCTGCTAATAAGTCAAGGAATTCGTTTTGAGACCTGGGATTAAGGTAATCGACTCTGTGTGGTCGCTTGGGGGCATCATCCAACCATCTCTTAAAGGAAGGCGAGTGTCTGGCTATCAAAGAAGTAATTTGCCGAAAATTACCATTTCCATCTTTCTCTGAGGAAGAAGCACGAAAAGATATTCCTTGACGTGCGAGAGTTTGTGTTATGTCCAAAAGTGTATTAATGGCTTCATGATTGCGTTGCAACTCCGCTTCTTCTTCAATCAAAACTTTCCTTCGTTCTTTATCAAGTAACAAATCAAGGTGGCTGGACATATTCTGGAAAGCCAAAAATGCATTAAGAGCTGCTTTATGGCCGGAGCTTGCAAAATGCTGAGATAATTTCCCTGCATTTCCTTTACCACGACTTTTCATTTTGTGCCAAGTTCAAACACCGTCCACTGTTCAAGCATCACATACTTCGTCAGCCTTGGGATTTCCGATCCCAGATGAAAATACCTGACAAACAAACAGAATGCAGCATCTTTTGTAATAGAATACTCAAGATGTGGATAGGAATTGTACCATTCCGAAGAAAAATGGCACTGCTTTGATTCAGCAATCTTGATATTTCCTGGATAGCTTTTAAGAGGCTGTCTCTCTAAGAACTGACCAATGACTCTTGGCTCAAAAAATGAAATTCTTCATTACTTTCACAATGAAATGTATTTACCCCAAAAACAAACAAACACTATTTGGAATTTTGAAATTTTATTAATTTTTAAAATTTCAGCAATTTTTCGGTCCCCGCACCGTTGGGCAGAAAATCCTCTGCCTATATCAGGCATAAAAATTAGCCGAATTCAAATACATATAATTTTAAAGTATCCAACCAACTTTTATGATTTTTTCACCCACCAACGTGAAAATTATTCTACTTTGAAACTTGCCTTGTCTTATGATGCTTTTTACAGAACAATTATGGCAAACTTTAGCGATAACAAGCACCAGGTCTAAATACGGCTTTGTACACATATCAAATTCGACTTTAAATTTATTAAAAGTGGCACCTAACTGGATTCAGCGACTAATATGGTTTTAAAAAGGGAAGTTTGAAGTACCCATATCCATAATAAAACTTGTTACCAACCGCAATTTGAATACTCGACAGCCTCTGAAATTTGATACAATTTGGCTATTTTGTTTAGCTTCAATTATAGCGGAGTTGCGACGTCAGAGCTTCCAGTCACTTGTAAAATGCGCTGTTGTTCCAGTTTTTTTTTACACAAGCCGT